ATACATAGTTTAGACTCATCTAAAGTAGATAGAGGCATGTCGACTTCTGGCTGTTTTTTCGCTGAATCAATTTATTGAAAGCCGAAGAAAAACTTTTTTAATTGAATAATTAATTTTTCTATATACAATAAATTTTACTGATATTCAAATAGTTCAAATTAAAATGCCACACTATGATTTTCTTTATACAAACGAAAATAATAATTAAATATTATTATTACAAATATTTTAGTTAAATTCATTTTCAATTAAAAAAAACTTATTGAATTGCAAATATTTCCATTTATTTATATATTATTTTTTATCGTCATCATCATTTGGCTCTTCAGCCCATAATAAATGAGTTACATAGCGAGTGGGGAAAGATGGTCTCTACTGCCTTGGAAGGCAAGCTTGTGATAATTCAATTTATTTAAAGTCGAACAAAAACTTATTTTGATTAAAAAATTTATTTTTTCATGTTAGTAGAGTAGAGCTAACATAAATTTTACTGTTACTTCTTAAATAATTTAGATTAAAATATTGCACTATACTTTTTTTTAACAAAACAGAGTTTTTATATATTAATGGTAGTATATCATCATCATCATCATTCGGCTTTACAACCCACAGTAGATTAGTTGCATAACGAGTGGGGAAAGGGGATTCGTAGTGTTCCGGAAGAACGCTCAGCATGGTCGACAAATAGTTCCCAAATCGAGTACTTATATATTCTATATTTCATATAAGTATATGTTTTTCGGTGTGCATACAAATATAGAATATATAGTGTTATATACTCTATATTTCATATAAGTATATGTTTTTCGGTGTAGTGTTTCGCGCATCGTGACGCCACTACAAAGAGCTTTGGTCTACACAATTTTTTGGCATTCAATACCTTATATGCAGCTTATATAAAGGTTCAAAATTAAATAAATTTTTCTTTCCTTATGAAGGGAATATTAACAGTAATGATTAAATATTTTATGAGTTACTCAATAGACCTATCAATTAAATATTTAGTTGATTACACGAAAAAATTTAAAGGCATCACAATTGATTTTTAATTGGTTTCACTATTTAACAGCAAATTGAATTAATGAACTTTATACCCTGACACCCTAGTATTATTACAATTACCTGGCGAATATATTTCAGCACAACGCAGTTTGTTTATTGTGCCAATTATTTTAAATTAGTGAATAAAATGGCTTTTGATGAGGGAGAGCACATTATACGGATTTATTATGTTCAATTATATATTCTGTATGTGACAACATATATATCGCAGAAGCGGCAGATACTGGTCTCTGTTAAGTCAATTTTGTTAATATAGTACTGCAACACGTAGAGTTCTGTCAAAAGTGTGGTAAAAATTTTAATAATGTCGCTGCTTATATTAACTAAATTGAAGAATTCCGTTTGATCGAATTTTTCATAGGTTGATATAATTTTCAGTCATTAATTGAGATTTCCTTCGGTATTTGTTTTATAACAACAATGCGTTAAAAGTTTATCGAAGCACCCAAGTTTTTTTTAGTCTTTTTGTCTTTCGGATTCCGAAACCCATCAGAAAGAGACTCGGTTGATGTGACTAAATTCATCGGGGAGCGCGATATGTTGTTATATGCTATATTAGTCCAACAAATGTTAACAATGGCAAAAGTCAGTAGAACCGTTGAGGATGTCAGATATTTTGTTGATTATCATACTATAAGTTTTTTTTCTCAGAATTTTGCAAGCTGTATTTCAAATATCTTCAGATGGAAAGTGTATCTATGACAATGACAATTTAAAACTTAATTAGTAAAGTATTTTATTTACATTGAAAGGATTTTTAGGCAAATCAATATAAATTAATTTAAAATTTATTAAGTCGTTTTCGAAAAATAGTGAACTACAACAAAAATTCTTTTTTAAACTATTTTAATAAATTAAATTTTGGCATACAGCTGTTTCGAGTATTGCCAAATACTCATCAGTGATCTTGAAAATAATTCTTGTATTTAATTATTCGTAAATAATTTTTTTTGCCCTGCCAAATTTGAAATTTGAAATTTATTTATTAATTCTTTTTTAATTTTTAAAATTAATTGATATAAATAATTATAAATTTATAGTTTTTATAGCCTAAAGATTTTATCCTCAATCCATTTATATAGCAGACTTGCGCCCCGTTATTTATAGGACTCTTGACATTTTTTTTAAAAAAATTTATCAGGAAAAATGCGTATAAGATCGTCTTACCAATAACATGATAATAAACAATCATATTACTATGAATAAGATTTTAAAATAATATCTTCAACATTAAAAAGTTGTTACAATTTAATTAAGCCCGTATTGAACTTAAATGCAGTATATTTTAAATAAGTTATTTTAACAATTTTATCTGAATTTATCTAAGTATCACATTTTCAAGAAATCGTTAAAAAGTAATATATAAATTGACATCTTAAGGCTACAATAAATTTTCAAAAATAAAATTTATTTAAATAGAAAAATATTTAAATTTTCATAGTCTGTGGGTTAGTGTTGTGCAATTGTTTTATTTCACAGACAAATTATATTTTATTTATGATATAAATTTTAACAAGATTTTTGGCAATATAATTGGTGTAGTATTCATAAATAATAAAAATTATTTGCCCTTAAAATATAAAGTAATTTCTTACAAATTGATACAACATTTTCATTACATTGTGCCAAATTACTGGCTAAAGACAATATTTGTATCAAATATAATTTTTATGCAATATCCACTTAAATAAATAAATAAATGTACCTATAATTACATATATATAGTTTACGGGCTAATTGGTGGATACAAAAGTTAATTTAAAATAATAGAAAAAATTACGTAAATATGTCTATACATTAGTTATTCAGAGAAGGGTTTGGTAAACTTAATTTGTATGTAGTACAAATATATATAAAGTTATTATAAGATATACATTGTAAATTGTTTCTAAGTTTGCTGAATATTGATTATTCAGTGATTTTAGGTTAAAGTAAACATTTTAACTGGAAAATTAAAGCAGTTGTTTAATTTTTAGATATTTTTTATTATTTTTTTTATTATTTTTTTTATTCCCGACATTTCGAAATTGTTTTGACTTTTTTCTCAGATCGTGTTATATTAGCAATTCTTTTAATTATCTAGATATTTTCTGCACTAAATTTTAAAATACTAAATAAATTAAACATATTGTTTATGAAATCTTATAATTTTTGTACTTATTTGATTTTTATTTATTAATTTTTATTTTGTTTGCTTAAAGTTAATAAAGTCGTAGCAGTTGTAATAATGTTAACTAAAATATTTATATGATTCGTATGACAAATACATCAAATTTAATTATAATCTGTAAAATTCAAATTG